TTATATTCAGAAGGCAAAAAAACAGTTATAAGTCAGAGAAAAACATTTTCTCTACCAAGCATTGTATTCTATTCCACTCATTGTTCCACTTACAGTACCTGGCAAGCATCAGCTTCCTGATCTATAAAATGAGGGGATTTCTTGTAGAATATTATTTTAAGGTGTGTTACATTTGTTTATGCTGTGGAACATTTGCTTAATGATGAAAGATGTGTTGCATTCCTTTATGTTGCATTTGTTTAACTCTGTTAAGCTGTGCTACTTTGCCTGTCTAAAACATCCGATTGGCCTAATAAAGAGCTAAACAGCCAATACCTAGGCAGGAGAAAGAAATAGGTGGGGCTGGCAGACAGAGGGAATAAATAGAAGGAGAAATCTGGGGATGGGAAGTAGAAGGAACAAGAGAACAAGGAGAGGAGGACTTCAGGGGCCAGCCACCCAGACACCCAGCCACCCAGACACCCAGCCACCCAGACACCCAGCCACCCAGACACCCAGACACCCAGACACCCAGACACCCAGACACCCAGCCACCCAGCCACCCAGCCACCCAACCACACAGCCACCCAACCACACAGCCACACAGCCACCCAGCCAGACATGGAGTAAGAGTGAAAGTAAGGTATACAGAAATAGAGAAAGGCAAAAGCCCAGAGGCAACAGGTAGATGAGATAATTTAAGTTAAGGAAAGCTGGCCAGAAATAAGCCAAGCTAAGGCTGGGCATTTACAATTAAGAATAAGCCTTTGTGTGTGATTTATTTGGGAGCTGGTTGGCAGGCCCCCAGAAGAGCAAAGAATAAGGACTAAAAAACAACCAACAACAGGGATGAGACCACATGGATGCTAAGACATCTTCTAGCTCTAAAAGCCTCAAGATCAATGGACTGCCCAGCCAAGGGCTGACAAATATGACTATGTGTGGTATAATAATGTTTCAGTGACAGATGGTATAAATGAGGGTGGCCTCGTAAGATTATAATGGAACTGAAAAATTCCTATCACCACCTGACATTTAAGGCATAACATGTTTTCACAAGTCTGTGATGCCATTCTCAACAACATCCCATTAGTTATAGTACAACATGCTTGATAATGGATGACTACATTCCTGACTTGTTTACTAGATTCTTTACTGTTCCTAAGGTATACTGCTTCTAGACTAAAACAAGAGTTTAGCAGCTTAACAGGCAGGCAGTCATGCATTCACCAACAGCAGCGTCATACACCCAGGGTGTGCTGCCCATCTGGGTGACTGAGCCTTCCCATCCAGGCCTGAAGGAATACTCTGTGATGGTCCTCCACAAAACTGCCTAAGGATGCATTTCTTAGAGCAGATCCCCATCATTTGGAGCCACATGACTGTAATTATTCTAACAGTAGACCACATCTGTTGGAAATCCGCAAAGGCTCCGACCTCGAGGTGTCATGATGTAATCGTCAGAGCACCTTGGCTGTGAAGACTCTGCCCTGGAACACTGAGTGCGAGGCTGGCCTGCCAGTACATCTGGCTTTTGTGTGCCTTGTCAATGGTAGCTTCCTCCTCAATAACCCAAGGCTTGAGTCACAGTTGCCAGACTGCACTGGAGCATCAGTGTACCGTCCTTGAGTCCCAGGTCCCCTGTGGGCCCTCGGTGGAAGGAAAGGAGGAAGGATATTGAACTTTGGAGGGAAAGACAGGGCTTTTGATGAGGCTCCAGTACAGCTGGCTGGGGCCCAAAGAGAACAGGATCCTAGTCCTGTTTCCCACGGTTCCTATTGGACCTCCACCCCTCAAACTTTCTTACTTCCTTCAGAATTTCTGATGCCTTTGTTGCTTCTAGGTGTTGTTGTTGTTGTTTGTTTGTTTTTGTTTTTTGATACAAGGCCCCACCCTGTAGCACAGACTGGTCTAGAACTCATTCTATAGCCTAATCTGGCCTCCGACTCATGGATAACCCTCCTGCCTCAGCCTCTCTAGTGCTTGGAATTACAGGAGTGAGTGACCACACACTGCTCCCTTCAAAAAATATTTAATCCTGGCAATCCCCACACTAAACTCTCGGGTTTGAAAATTAATTATATTGGGTCTATCAGGGAATTTATAGACTAGCTGAGGGGTGGGGTGCAGAGGAGGGAGAACACAAATATGACTGGAATAAGGGTTATAGAACATGGCAAGAGACGGCTTTCTAAAGGCAAATCCCTTCAGGCAGTCTGTCTTTCTGACTGAAACAGGTTTTGCCCTGAGTCCACACATGGGGCAGGGAGAACAGCCCACTGGGCACTACCCATGGAGGTGTGAGTGGCATGACCTTGTTAGGGAACCTCTGTCCTCACTGCTCCAGAGAAGCATGAGACAGAAGAAGAGGAGAATGAGGCTCACAACCAGAGCGTGCGAGGTGCAGAAACGGGCCGATGAGTGGGTATTTCATGGAGGCCAGGGGCCGTTCCTCTGCAGGGTTTCAGAGCTTCCAGGGGCATGCGTAGACTGGCATGTTAAACAGCACCTCTGCAGGCAGTCTTTGACAGGGCGGTAGAAGAGCTGGAGACCAGCTAGAGGGCCTGGGACAGTCCAGAAGGGCTGGGGAGGGTGGGACAGGCTCAGAGGAAAACAGGAAGGAGGTGTGACAGCATTGGGGAATGCAGGAGTGGCTGGGAACCACTGTCATTACCTCTGAGGTGTATAATCATGGACACTGCCTGGCCGGGGGAGGGGAGTCTGAGCCTTGTCCAACTTGACTGTAACTGACTTGCACTAGGAACGGTTGGAGAGAAAGGACTCACTGTCAGAATTCATATTAACTGGCTTCTAACTGTTGCTCTGCATGACTCTGGGAAGGGTCCTCTGCCTCTCCTTGTCTCTCTATTTTCTTTCTTCCCTTATTTCCTTTTCTTTTCTTAACAATAGCATTGGTTTCCTTGAATGCCAGCATCTGGATTCAAGATTGCATTTCCCTTAAACCAATAGACCAATGGTGGTTCTCAACCTTCCTAATCTGTGACCCTTCAATACAATTCCTCATGTTGTGGTGACCCCCAACCATAAAATTATTTTCATTACAACTTTATAACTGTAATTTTGCTAGCTATGAATCATAATGTAAATCTCTACTATGCAGGATATCTGACATATGACCCCTGTGAAAGGGTCATTCAAACCCCCAAAGGGGCCACGACCCACACGTTGAGAACCGCTGCGGGGTCCTGGTTTTGATACTCTCCAGGGACTCGCGAACTTTGTGTTTATCTTTATCCTCCTTCTATAGTAGTTGCCAGGGACATTATTGTTCTCCAGAAGTGCATTGTGGGCAAGATCCGTCTCAGTCTCCATGCGTGAGAACCCTTGCTGCCCAATGGCAGCAGCCAATTCTTTCCTTCACACAATTGCAGTACCATTTGTCTTCTGGAGGTGAAGCACAGGAGGAGGGTGGGGAACGAGATGTCCAGGTGCCTCCTCTCAAATTCATGACTTGAAACACAGCTGCCAAAGCAATAGCACTCAGAGGTGGGCTCCTGCGGTAATAAAATCATGAGGATGGAGCCATGGTGAAGAGTCAGATACCTTTAATAAAATGTGACCAGGTTCTTCCTTCCACACTTCCACTCTCTGTCAGGTATGGACACAGTGTTCATCTTCTTCAGAGGAGGGGTCATTCATGACTCCATTCTGGAAACAGAGTAGGCCCTCACTAGCCATCCAAAGCCTGTGCTCTGATCTTAGACTTGACAGCTTCCAGAGCTGTGAGAAATAAACATTTTTAAAATTATCATATTATTGTATGTGTATAGGTCTTTTCCCTGCATGTATGTATGTGTACCACATGAGTGCAGTGCCTACATCAGCCAGAAGAGGGTGTGGGATCCCCTGGAACTGGAGTTGTCCCGTGGATGCTGGGACTCAAACCCTGGTCCTTCAGAAGAACAGCCAGTGCTCTTAACTGCTGAGCCAATTCTCCAGCCCAGAGAAATAGGCTTTTATATATATATAACTTAGTGTGAAACATTTTGTTATAACAGCACAAGCAGCTTAGAGTCAGCCAGGAAAGTTTCTAATGGCAGACTCTGTCAGGCACACCTCCCTCTCACCATACCTCAAATCTTTGACTCAACAAACTGCCATCCTTGTATGGGCTTTAAGGGTTATCTGTGAAATGTGGTCATCATTGAACAGCAAAAGCCAAGGTTTTTTTTTCTAAATTAATAATGGATAATCTCTGGTAAAATAAGGTTGCTGAACATTTACTATTACAATGTACAAATGCCCTAATCTCTGGATTTTGACCTTTGACATTCGTTTACTACGTCCAAGTTTAAACAAGTGATAATGCCTCTGTGGACTTGGTAATTGCTTCTTTCTGAAACTTTGCCAGGAGTTAATTTACATACTTAATTATTAAATCTATTTTAAGGGGTTTTTGGTGTAATGTAAATTAACTTGTTTTCAATATTGCTAGCATTCAGAAATAAATTCAGAAGGGATTTTACTTCCCTACAAGGTGGATAATTTGCATGTTTTGTAAATTGCTTAGCGTGGCTTAAATGTTCAGTAATCCAAACCTAAAATAAAGAGCCCCCACATACACTCTATCTCTCCCTTGGAAAATGTCTGCAGTATGGTAGTGACATTTCTAACTTCTTATTGAAGGTATACTTTGGGGGAGAGTTTTCGAAAACTGTCCTTCATGAAACAGATGAATATTTCATCAGAAAATGTGGTCTACTTTAAAAAAAATAACTATAGAGCATGCTTAAGGTGTCGATGTTAGTTACTAGGGGACAAATTATATTCAGTGGAAGTTTGAGAAAAGCCACGAAGTGCATAAGATGAATACATTCACTGTGATTATTCTCCTCAGGAGCTAGAAAATAACTACTTAGGAAGACGATGCCTGAGAGTAATTGCTGTTTGATGGAGAAAAACCAGGGGAAATAATTATAAGAGCGAGGAAGATATTTCCTAACCATCTGTCATTTAAAAATAAGAAACAAAAAAGGGAAACATAGTATTTTTTTTTCCAGAAAGGCGTGGAAGCCGATACAAAAGGCAACATTCTGATGGTGTGCACAGGATGAGGAGACAAATGCAGTGATGGCCCAGGCCTGCGGGATGTGATGGTGTTCCCAGGACATCTGAGACTGTGATGTAAGGATGCCCGCACTCGAGGTGTGCTTTGCTGTTTCTCAATTGCCTTTATCTGACATTTCTACATAGCCAAAGGGAGAGAACACATCCAAGTGAAATGTCAGTAGTTGGAAGCAGGAGACACCAACAGAAAGATTTCCTCCTACTAGGGTACAAAGGTAAATAAAAGACGGCACTAGGAAAAAATCATCTTTAGCATCTTTAACTTCCTACTTTGTTTAACGGACATAATCGGTGAGACAGTGAAGGACAGATAACATTTGATTCTCTGGGGGCAGGCATGTGGAAGTCTATGGGCAATGGCTTCTGTCTTTTGCCTTCTGAGTTATCCAGGTCTGCCTTACAGACAACCGCATATGGAGGGAGGAACAGGAGAACTGTCTGGACAACTGTGCTGTCCTTCAACCACAGAGTCAGTACCAGACGAGATCATGAAAGAGGTGAGAGGAGCTGGAAGCAATCCCACCCCGTCTCTGGGTTTCCAGGGCACTTCCTTTGTGCCCCTGATGGCACTTTCCCTTTCCTCTCTGACATGGCTGCTGTTTCCTCTCTCCTGAGCACTGGGGAGGGGCAGCTCTGTGTGAGACTCTTCTTTGATCAGCACGGATCCTAGCTGAGGCCTGCCAAGCAACTGCCACAGGACATACTTCTTATTGCAATCAAAGGAGAGGCCTAGAGAATAGGTGTTCTGTGGGAAGAGTGGACACGGACTTTCTGAGGTAGGCATATTGTTTTTGTTTGTATGTATGGTTGCTTTGACTTTTTTGAATTTGTATTCCCTTTGTGTTTTGTTTCTTTTTTTTAACCTCTCTGACATCCATCCACTCTTTGATGGGAATGCCTTGATGTCCCAAATGGGATGTCATCAACATGTCTTCCTTCTCTGACCTAAACAATCATCCTGCCGTGGAGACGGAGCTGGAACACAATCACACAAAGTGTGGAAATCTGCTGGTAGCAGCCTGTCCACTGGGGTCATGTAGATTCTCCTTGTGCTCTTCTGTCCTGCGGCAGATGATGCTGACTTACTGTTCGACATCACTCTACCCAGTGAGAGGCAGAGTCTGTATGTGTCCCTGCAGTCTGGGCAGGCTGCTCAACAGAACACATGACAGCGGCTGTGCCCGAGTCTAAGAGTTTCCTTCCTGTCTCTCCTTGAAGCCCTGGGTTACAATTTAAGTCCAGGCTCCCAGAAGCCACCATGGTATGAAGGTGCTCAAGCCGCTTAAGAGAGGTGTCTAGAGAAACAGCCGCCCACCCGGCACTCTCTTCTAGATACCTGAGTCCTAGATACCTGAGTGCCTAGAATATTTACTCAGGAAACCAGCTATTCTAGACACCTTGAGTGAAAGAGCCTTCATGTGACGCTAGCCTCAGCAGTCATTGGGCTCAACCTTGTGAGTGACCTCAGTAAGGATCAACTCAATGATTCTAAACCTTGAGGGAGATGGCACAATTGTCAGAATCCACGGTGGTGTAGTGATATGGCTTTATTAAATAATGTGCTGCCACGGGTGCTGGATAGTTTTTTGTCAACTTGACGCAAGCTAGAGTTAGCTGAAAGGAGGGAAAAATGATGTGGAAGTGTAAGCCAAATAAACCCTTTCCTCCGCAACATGCATTTTTGTCAATGGTGTTTCATCACAGCAATAGAAATCTTATATATTTTGAAACACCGTTGTTAATAACATACAAATTTATGAGTAAGTATGGTTTCCCTCTTGATTATCATGTACCATCCTTGTTAACTAAGCTCTGTGATTCACATTCTAGTTTGTCTAGTATCAGTAACTGCTAAGCTGGCATTTCTTCTATTTCTGGGCTTGCTTTCTATCTCATACATCTCTAGACACACTTTCTCCCCTAAATTCATGTGGTTTCCTTCCCATTGAGTCCCTCAAGGCAGTGCACCACTCAGTGTTTAAGTCCTGAGCCATACATTTAAAAAATCACCTCGAAAGCTTTAGGAAATGCACACCGCCTTCCTTCCCCTCTGCCTGCTCCCACAGAGAAATGAACTCACAATCTCCCAGGGAGAAGTACCTTTGTTGTTGTAGGAGAAAAAAATAAGAAATAAGATAAGACTTACTATCTTAGCCATTCTTAAGAGTACAGGTCAGTGGTGTAAAGTATGGTCAAACCACATGCAACTGATCTACAGAACTTTATCGTCTTCAAAAGCTGAGACTCCTTGGTTTCATGATTACAATTTTTTTTTGCATATTTTCATGTCCATTAATGGAAGAAGTATTGTTGTTTATCTCTTTCAGCAATTGAAGCCTACTTGTTTTAAATTCTTTTTTAAGGTATGTCTGTGTACCACCTGATGCCCTCAGAGGGCAGAAGAGGGCATTGGATCCCCTGGAACTGGAGTTGCAGATGGTTGTTGGCCACCATTCTGGGAATTCAACCCTGGAGCCCTGGAAGAGCAACAAGTGTTCTTTACTGTTGAGCTATCTCTCCATTTCCTGTTTTCAGTTATTTACCAAACAGTTCCACAAAACTAATTTTATGTACAGTGAAATCATGTTCCAAATGAGGAAGTAGGGTTCATACTTCTCATGTTAGATATCTTAACACAGTTTGGGGATATGACTTGCGCAGAAGGCTGATGTGGAGAGGGAAATTTTTCGGTTTTTTTTTCTCCTTTCCAATCTTTCTCATTCCTTACATCCTCACTGCCTCAGACCTCCTTAATGGTCAGAAACCCCTACCTGAGGAGGAACACAGTAGTATTTTGACATTCTACTTTACCCAGATATTATAGGGGTCACAGAGCCTTCCCCTAATCAGGATGTCCCTCTGACTCTACTTCCCACTCTGCATAGCTTCTAATGAATCCATGGCTTAAGTAATGAGTTAGTCAGCTCTTTCAGTCTCCCATCACCAGGAGCCCCAGCTCTCACCCTGACCCCCAAGGCTCTCCATAGAATGAAAAACAGTGTTAGTGTTTAATAACCTGAGGGAGCTGGAGTCGTGGACACAGCATTGAGAGGCCAGCATGTACACCGATGCAATCCTAGGCCAATTCATTTCTTTCCGTGATGCTGGAGTATTTACACTTATTCCTTTGAATTCAATCATATCACTCTGATTTCTCCCCCTTTTCTTCAAATTTATTTATTTTTATTTTTGTGCATTGGTGTTTTGCCTATATGTGTGTCTATGTGAGTGTGTCATATCTCTTGGAACTGGAGTTACAGACAGTTGTGAGCTGCCATGTGGGTGCTGGGAATTGAACCCCAGTCCTTTGGAAGAACAGTCAGTGCTCTTAACCATTAAGTCATCTCTCCATTCCTGATTTCTCCTTTTTTTTTTTTTTTTTTTTTTTTTGGTTTTTCGAGACAGGGTTTCTCTGTGTAGCTTTGCGCCTTTTCCTGGAACTCACTCGGTAGTCCAGGCTGGCCTCGAACTCACAGAGATCCGCCTGGCTCTGCCTCCCGAGTGCTGGGATTAAAGGCGTGCGCCACCACCGCCCGGCTTCCTGATTTCTCCTTTTTTATATGATACTTAGTATGCTTTCGTATCTGGAATGAATGTAGGGCCTGAGGATGAGGAGTGTGCTGGCTGGCTTATGTCAACTTGACTCACAAACTGGAGTCAACTGAAAAGAAGGAATCTTAACTGAAAAAGGCATTTTCTTAATTAGTGATTGATGGGGGAGAGCCCAGCCCATTGTGGGTGGGGTCCATCCCTGGGCTGGTGGTCCTTGTTTCCATAAGAAAGCAGACTGAGCCTAGTGGCGCACGCCTTTAATCCCAGTACTCGGGAGGCAGAGCCAGGTGGATTTCTGTAAGTTCGAGGCCAGCCTGGGCTACAGAGCGAGATCCAGGACAGGCACCAAAACCACACAAAGAAATCCTGTCTCGAAAAAAAAAAGAAAGAAAGAAAAAGAAAAGAAAGCAGACTGAGCAAGCCACGTGGGAGTAAGCAGCATCCCTCCATGGCCTCTACATCAGCTCCTGCCTCCAGGCTCCTGCCCTGTTCGCCTTCCTGTCCTGACTTCCTTTGATGATGAACATTGATGGGGACGTGTAAGACAAATAAATCCATTCCTCCCCAACTTGCTTTTGGTCATGGTGTTTCACCACAACATCAGAAACCCTAAGACAAGGAGGGAAGAGTTTTTTCCGGGAGAAAGAAGCTACAATATAACAGGTTGGGGTTTGAGCTGGAGGTGTGGCTCAGTGATAGCGCTCTGGTCTAGCATGCTCGAAGCCCTGGGTTCAGTCCCCACTATCACAAATATACATACATATATGTGTGTGTGTGTGTGTGTGTGTGTGTGTGATACAAATATATGTATATATAAAGAGTTTGGGGCTCCTTTGGCCAAATGTTACATTACTTTTGGTTCGGCACACTTGTAACTTTAAAGAACTCTCTAATGTTTGATAGTCATTTTTTCTGCTTTGAAAATTTCATTATTTTACTGTTTAACTTTCTACTTAAAACGTATTTTATTATTAAGTGAAGTATTTCTTTCTAAATAGTTAAAATTTCTCAGTGCCATTTGTTGAACGTGCTTTCATATCTCATTATCATTTACTAGAGGTTTGTGTGTAGTAGGATTCACTTATGAGCCACGTCCTCTGTTCTATGATTTCCCTCCAATCATCACATGACAACACAGTGCTTTATGCTGGAGCTCTTATAGTTCTTAATACTAGGGAGAGCTTATCCTGATGCATTTTCTTCTCAGATGTATTTTAAATCTTGTCTAGTTTTCCTAAATAAACCACTTTTTAAATTTAAAAGTCACACTGGAATGGCTTAGTTTTTGTATGAAACTCATGCATTGGTTTGAGGAAACCTGGTAGGAATACAGGCATATGTTAGTCTGAAATTTAAAAATCTCTCATTAAGCATGTTCCCCTTCTTTAGGTCACCCTTTTCATTAAGGTAATTTAAGGTTTTTGTACTTTTGTCTCATTTCCATCGTTAAAAAATTATTCATGGTCAATAGGACAACTTCATCTGTCCTGTTAGTAATTTTTGCATTAGTTGGAATTTTCATGTACTGTCTTTGTGTCTGTCTCTCTGTCTCTTTGTCTGTTTGTCTGTCTCTGTCTCTCCTCCCCCAACCCGTGTGTGTGTGTGTGTGTGTGTGTGTGTGTGTGTGTGTGTGTGTGTGTGTGTGTAGAAGTACAAATCCATCTTTTTGGTTCTGAAGAAATTTGTTTCCCCTTTCAAAAAAATATGTTCATATTTTATCTAGCGAACTACTGAATAATTTTTAGTTTCATTTCTGGTTATAGTGGCCATTGCTGGCATTACACGTATGTACCACCAAATCTTTTATGCTTTTCAATTATAGAAAATTATGGAAACTTGAGAAATGGAAATCCTAATTTGGAGAATGGGGAGTGGAAGCTTTATGTATGGCCTTTCTTGAAGATGTCCATGAGAATTTTAACAATAGGACAAAGGTCCTCTCCAACAAAGTATGGAAATAAAAATAGTTTACAAGGTTCACAGAGCACAGCTGGGGCCATGGAGGAAGAGTGGATGTGAGCAAAGCTGGGAACAAGCTTTGCTGTTTATTCCGCAGAGAATGAAAATATGAGTTTCATATTTGTCCTTAAAATCTCAGCTCCTGAAATACACGGAATTCCTGCAAGGTTTGGTGGCATTTCAGCACAGAGAAGGACAATGTTGTGTTTGAGAACCACTATTTGTTCGTTTCCTGTGCGAGCCTGAATGGAAAATGGGAGGAAAGGCCTTGTATTTCAGTTCCTTCCTGATTTTCCCCCACAGGGACAGGGATAGTTAGGTATTTATCCTCCACAAGTCGATACAAGCAAAAATCCATATCCATACTGAAACACAGGACCCACTCACAGCAGAAGCACTTTAACTACAAGCACACATGTGTTTTCTAGTGTGGTAGAAAAAGAATTGTCATCTACAAAAGCTCCATTAGAAGTTATCTAAAACCTGAGAATGTTGGTTTGGGATCTTTGCCCAGTAATGTGAAAGGACTATTTTCTTTTTAATTTTTAATCTTAGGCTTAATTTTTCTTGGTGTAAGGCCCAATCTCTCACCAGCAGTGAGTCAGAAAGAATGCTTGAAACAGTTCTTGTGACAAGGATGGTCAAGCCTATTTCTTATGCATCTAATTATTTCACCAAAACTGGAAAAATATTCCTATGTTAAAACAGCTCATCAGATTACATAAAGATGCTTAAATTCATCTGTCAAAAATGTGAGACAACAGACAGCATTTTGTAATGTCTATTGATGTAAACTTCAGGTCTGTGATAAAAATTGTAAGGCCTAATGTGACCCAGCAGTTTCCCAATCCCTTTTCCCTAACAAGGAATATCTACTCAATGAATGCTAATCACTAATAACAGAAATGATACCTTTCAAAACAGTAATATAGCCGGGCGGTGGTGGCGCACGCCTTTAATCCCAGCACTCGGGAGGCAGAGCCAGGCGGATCTCTGTGAGTTCGAGGCCAGCCTGGTCTCCAAAGCGAGTTCCAGGAAAGGCGCAAAGCTACACAGAGAAACCCTGTCTCGAAAAACCAAAAAAAAAACAAAAAAAAAAAACAGTAATATAAAAGTAAAACCATTCACAGAATGTAACTGGGGACAGGCATGCGCTGTGTTCCTCAGATGGAGATCAGAGGACAACTTCTATATGGGAGTCAAAAGCCATCTGTTTGAGGGGACATGTTTATCATTAACTAGACTGAATGTTACATTAGATGGCAGTGTCCAGCTTATGGTGTAGGACGTAGTAACGGAAGCTATATGCCTGATCCCCCTTCCTAAAACCCTAAAGAGTAATTAAAAACTGACTGTTTAGTAAACAGTATGCTTAACCTAAAGAAGGCCACAGCTTTTAAGAAATGTCACTATGAGGTCCCGTGAGAAGGTTTGACGTTTCTTCCCCAGTCTGTCCCACCTTTTTCAGGCCTTGGTGGCTAGAAGGCTATGGTGGTTGTACTGGTGGTGATATACGAGCACTTTGCAGTGTTGCTGGTGTCCCTGAAGAGCCTTTGTTGACCATACCCATGGGAGTCATCAAAAAGAGCATGAGCAGTTGGACAGGATGGGCCCAAGGCAAAAATGTCACTCTAAGTCATCACCAACTCTGGCTTGAACGAAAGAAAGGTCCCTTGCTGTTGGCATATAGGAGTGTCTTAATATGTCTGGGCTGCTGCAGCAAAATACTGTTGGCTGAGTGGTTTATGGGCAACAAAAGCTTGTTTCACACAATTCTGAAGGTAGGGAGTTGAACATCAGGTTGCCAGCAGACTTGGTGCCTGATGAGGGCTCACTTCCTGCTTCATAAGCAGTGCCTTCTCTCTGCATGGGCAGATGAGGTGAAATCTCATTCAGGAGGATTCCCCCCTGGTAACTTTATCGTCACTCCAAAGCCCCAAGTTCT